CGTCACAGCTCACAGCAACCTCCAGCTCTTGGGCTTAGGTGATTCTCTTGCCTCTGCCTCCCGAGTGTCAGGGACCATAGGTGCCCACCACAACATCCTGTTATTTTTTGTTGCAGTTTAGCCGGGGCTGGGTTGGAGCCCGCCACCGAACGGGGCTGGCGCCCTACTCACTGAGCCACAGGCACTGCCCCTAATTTTGCTATTTTTTAAAGTTTTTGCTACCATGAACTTCCTACATATTTCTTGGTGCCTATGACCAAGAGCCTAGTATAAATTTAGGAGTGGACTTAGAGGATTGTAAGGTAGTAACATGGTCAACCCTAGTAAAGGTGCCTCATCGTTATTCAAAGTGGCTATACCAGTTTACACCCTTCTGTGTATTTACCAAAACTTAATATCTTCAGACTTAAAATATTCGTCAGTTTTGCAATATGCCTCTTTGTGTTCAAGCTGTTCTAGATTGTTTCAAAAGGCAAGACTCATCTTTTGTTGGCTGTATCATTGTTGGCTGTATCATGAGCATTTTAATTTTGAATGTGATGATAAAATTTTGTTAATGATGCGAGAGCCATTAGAAATTTAATTAATATGAAGTCAAACTAGAATATAAAATCCACTCATGTTACTTTAAAAGTAATTATAGCACTCTGGGAGGCCAAGGCAGGTGGATTAGGAGTTTGAGACCAGTTGAACAAGAGTGAGATCCTGTCTCTAAAAAATAGCTGGGCATTGTGGCGGGTGCTTGTAGTTCCAGTTACTTGGGAGGCTGAGGCAAGATAATTGCTTGAGCCCAAGACTTTGAGATTGCTGTGAGCTGTGACACTACGGCACTCTACTGTCGGTGAGGATGACAAAGTAAGACTCTGTCTCAAAAAAAAAAAGTGATTATAATGTCTCACTAGTTAAAAAAAAGTCCCATATATATTTAGTTTAAGATACTTAAAAAGTATCTAGGCTCGGTGCCTGGAGCACAGTGGTTGTGGCTCTGGCTACATACACCTATGGTGGTGGGTTCGATCCTGGCCAGTGCCAGCTAAACAGCAATGACAACTGCAACAAAAAATAGCTGGGCATTGTGGTGGTGCTTGTAGTCCCAGCTACTTGGGAGTCTGAGGCAAGAGAATTACGTAAGCCCAAGAGTTTGAGGTTGCTATGAGCTGTG